TGCTTCTCATTCTACGCTTAAAAAAATTCTAAAATCTACAAAAAAAAAACAAACTTTTTTGAGTTGATAATACCGTTTCAAAATTAACATGCAGTCACCACACTATGCTATGTTAATATGGGTCACATATGGCAAATACACCACATGGAACATACAGTGTTTCTAACACAAAATGTACTTACCGACTATAGCACCTTATTAGGTTATGGGTAACACATGCATACATTGAATAACAAGTAATTGCATTACATAGTCTCTGCTAGTAATCAAGTTAAAATAATATAGTTTTGTTTATTATAATATAGTTTGGACATAAATGATCAGAAAGTGTCAGAGATATGGCTCTGGAACAGCATACATTAAAACAAAATGGCCACCAGTTGGCCATTTTGAAACCAATCTGGAAAAACAAAACAAACAGCCTATCGGCTGAGATAGCTCGGCTGTCAGAAATGCACATTTCAATTAAAGAACTGAAGACATCATCAGAAAATGAACAATATGTATAGTATCAAAGCAATCGGACTTACAGTTTTTAACAAGAAGTCGAAAATATCACTTTCTACCAAAAATGACCAAAATATTCACCAAAATTAGAGAATTGAAGATATCATCACGAAATGAACAAATCTGAGAAAGGTCTACATGTAGTATCTATATATGTAATATCAAAGCAATTGAACTTTTGGTTTTTAACAAGAAGTCGAGAATATCACTTTTTACCAAAATATGACAAAAATATTCACCAAAATTATAGAATCCAAGATATCATCACGAAATGAACAAATCTGAGAAAGGTCTACATGTAGTATCTAAATATGTAATATCAAAGCAATTGAACTATTGGTTTTTAACAAGAAGTCGAAAATATCACTTTTTACCAAAAATTACAAAAATATTCACGAAAATTAGAGAATTGAAGACATCATCACAAAATGAACAAATCTGAGAGAGGTCCACATGTACCGGTAGTACCTATATATGTAATATCAAAGCAATCGGACTTGTGGTTTTTAACAAGAAGTCGAAAATATCACTTT